CACATTTACCACTGATTGGATGAGAATCGTGTAATTTTGTTTATAACTTTTACCTTCCTATAGGAGTGGGAACCATCTAGAATAGAGGTCTTCAACAGGGGTCCGTGACCCCTATGTGGTTCACAGAGGTACAGCATGGGGGTCATGAACGTTTTAGTTGATTAGCCTTTTTTATTTATATATTTTTTTTTATATTCCCCCCTCCAATTATTTCCACTAATTGAAGTGTCTTTAAATACACTAACATGAATTCAACACACTGTAGTAAACAGATAAATTGAGGCAGAAGATGTCTTTCAGTCATCAATGAACACATTCAGCAACAAACAAGAGCTCTTTCAAGCTGGGCACCATTTCATTCACAACACCTGTTCCAATTGCCAGGAATCACAATCAGAAATACTTTAATATTCCCAGGGCGAAATTACTTCCGTTACATGACTCAATCTGTAATAGAGTGAAGATAGGACCAGTTTGAAACACAGGTTCATACAATATATATAATTAGGGGGTCCCCGCTACACGTCGCCTTCAGTTTGGGGGTTGAAGACCCCTGATCTTGAATTTTTGAGCTGGTGAGAAACAGAATTTTCTAGTGGAGATTTGTAGGTAACAGTAACTGTTCTCTTTTCAGAAACCCTATGGTAACTGGAACATCAGTACTTGGTGTGAAGTTCACCGGCGGGGTTATCATTGCAGCTGACATGCTGGGTTCTTATGGCTCTCTGGCTCGGTTCAGAAACATTTCCCGCCTTATGAAGGTGACTAGTGTTGTTAATGACATAAAAGAGAAATTTGAAAGCTGAAAACCATATTTGATTATTTTTCTGTTTGTTTGTAGGTGAATGACAACACTATCCTCGGAGCATCTGGGGACTATGCTGACTATCAGTACCTGAAGCAGGTCATTGAACAGATGGTGTAAGTTCCTAATCAGTGACTGAGGTACTCAGCCTGCTGACTCTGTCTTAACGAGTGCATCTAAATGTTGTTTTGCTGTTAGCGTTGATGAGGAGCTGCTGGGTGATGGCCACAGCTACAGTCCCAAGGCCATCCACTCCTGGCTGACCAGAGTTATGTACAACCGTCGCAGCAAGATGAATCCTCTGTGGAACACAGTGGTCATTGGAGGCTTCTACAATGGGGAGAGGTGAGGGTTCTGGGTATGACAGGAAAACTTGTGCTTTGCACATAAGGGTCAATACAACATTTTACTCTAGTTGAATACAAGTGAATTTACTTATTACCAATCTGTAATCACTTGTTTTATAATTAATACAGCGGTTATTCTACTGGTTGATATAGTCTATAAACCCAGTCAATGTACCAGCTGCTACAGTCTTCTCCTACTGCTGGTTTGTATAGCATGATTAACATCCAAAATGTTTCCTCCTCTTCTAGTTTCCTGGGTTATGTGGACAAGCTGGGTGTTGCTTATGAGGCTCCCACAGTTGCCACTGGTTTTGGAGCGTATCTGGCTCAGGTTAGTCCCTGTTTGAAATATGAAAAACTGCAGCCTTTTTCTAAGCTATCAAGGGAAAAATGTGAGTAAACATGAGATCATCTGAAATTCATTCAATCAGAACAGTCTGGCAGAATTCAATTCAGGTTAGATCATTTATTTATTCACCTGGTCGCAACGAATGCAGGGATTAAAGTATTCCGGCCTGTAGTGATTGCCAGTGGGTAAAACAAAATTACTTGAAAATAAATTGATGGTAAATAAGTAAAAAAAAAAAAAAGACAATCTAAATCCCTCTTGCGTTTGTCAACCAATGGTAGCAAAGGAGCGCTGTTAAACTAACAGTATAAGCCAATCAATAGAAGGAGGGGGCATGTCTTAGGGAAGCGTTTACCTCCTCCTCTTGTTTCTTGAAGTTGTTTCTTCAGTTTGCCAGATATTGTGGTACAGTGCTGAAGTTCTACATGGAAAGTCACCTTGCGCTGTTTACAGCTCCATTTAACGGAGAGACGTATAAAAAGTAAAAAAAAATATAAATCAATCAAACTTTGTGTTTGGAGAGAAGGACGCTAGAGAGAATGGAATTGCATGGTGTGGGCAAAATGCAGTTCATGAACTCTGGGGAAGATGTCACAAGGTTTCAAAAATAAATGGTGCTGGCCATGGCTGGAGGAGAAGGGGCGAGATGGCAAGCCATTTCGCAGCTGGTACAGGAAGTTAGGTGAACCAGGCGCTTGCTTCTGAACGCTGTGCTCCAGAAACGCTGAGCAGCAAAACTGGATATCAAAAGAAATGTGGTAGATGTAGATGCACTTTTGCCATCTTCTGGCAGTTTTTGGTATTGGATTTTCAGAAGTCAAATTTAGTCTAAATCATTCATGGAATCTGATCCCATGCCACCACACTCACCTGGCATGGCTTTAAAATATACACACACACACACACACACACACGTGTTCAGGATTTTTTTCTTGCTTCAATCCCTGCAAAGGTCATCTTAAGGTACTTTGATTACGTTTAGCCAGGTAGGTTCGTTGAAATACCATTTAATTTTACGGAATGTTACGATGCGATTAATCTCAACTTGAGTTGATGAGAAGCTAACTGATAAATGGTCTGGTACCTAAAGATGTCCACCTGATTGCATTGAGGCAGAAGAATATTCTATCTTGATGGCCAATATTGCCCAAACCTATATATAATGTATTTCAGAATAATTCTGGTCGATACAATGTAACATTGATATAAGCCAAATAAAAGCCTCAAAGGTTGCTCAGAACGCTGCAAAATAAGCCTGGTAAAGCTTGTTTTGCCATGTTTATATTATAATATAATATAAATTTCCCACATTTGGTCTGGCCGGTTCAATATCAATATACAACTTAAAATAATTTTAACCAATTGCATAGATAAGAATTGTCTAACACTTTATAGTCGGTGATTACAGTGTTTGTCACCGAATAATTTTGCGATGTAAATCAATATTAAATTACTATCCGCCCCTACTGAGAAGTGATATTGTGATAATTGTGCCAGTCCACATACCGTAGCTGCTCTCTGTTCAGAGTGAAATGTGGCCAATGTTTGATTTCTGGTCATTAAACTGGAAGTGTTGCTTGTAAATAATGTTATTTTGAGATGAATGTAAATACCAGGGGAAGTCGTTAAATCTGAGTTAAGCTTATGGTTTGTGTGCTCATGCTTTCAGCCCCTGATGAGAGAGGTGGTGGAGAATAAGGTGGAGATCACCAAACAGGAGGCTCGGGATCTTGTGGAACGCTGCCTCAAAGTGCTGTACTACAGAGACGCTCGCTCCTACAACAGGGTCAGTTAAGCCAAAGAAAACTAGTGTTCTTTCTAAAGTTTCGGGTGGGGGGAATAATGGATTCTGCTTTTAATGAATGTGCTAATTTAATGTTTTCCTTTTTTTCAGCATGAGATTGCTATTGTGACCGAGGAGGGTGTGGAAATCATTGGTCCCCTTTCATCAGAAACTAACTGGGACATCGCTCATTTGGTTAGGTGGGTGTTTACCTGCCCCTGTTTACACCTTTTTAGGATAACATAACTAATTTTCAAATGGTGAAAAATAACATCTACATTGATTTTTGTTTGTCTTGTTTCTCTGCAGCGGGTTTGAATGAAGACAAGCTGGAACAATTTCTTGCTGCATCTAAACTAACTTCCCACCATCCAACCGTTCTATCTAGTATAGTTTCTTTTTCTGTTAATGGTCACTTTTGTATAATGGAAAATAAATACAATAAATCGAACTGTTTGTGTGTCTCTTTTTTTTTCTTATAGTAAAAAATTTATCTTTTATAGCTGTCTGATCTTATTGTACAATAAGTATATTTTTAATCTCATAGGATATATTTTTTCCTGCATTGCACTGGACCAGCTTTAATGCAGTGTTTTGGGTGAGTGATGCTTTGATGCATAAATAGGGATAACATTTCATCTTAAAATTCAGCAATTGGGAAAGACACAAAAATGCCACTATAAATATATTTTTTGTACTTCTTTAAAAAATAATAAAATTAAGTCAGTCAAAATTGGAATTGTATGGAAGCCTATTATGGTTATGGCAGAAAAATACATTTTTGAATGCTCAAAACTTAAGTATATTGTTTAAATGTAATAACTATAAAAAGTTGATCATTTTTGATGTGCCTACACTGAAAAGGATCTTAAACAGAATGAGAGTCAATTGATGGAATATCCCCTTGATCCTAGATGTGGCAGCAATGTTCCTCATTGAAACACGGTTCAGTATGGAAGACCACTGCCGCCACATTTAAGGGAATATCTTTTTTTCCTATGTCCTGTTCTGTTTATGATACTTCTTTGTATGTATAGTAATAATGATTTCAAACAGTGTGCAGCAGAATCTCAATATGTCTTATACAAACATGAAGCAAAACTGTATCAGCTTATGTACCGTATATAAGCCACTGTCACCTGGATCTAATTATGACTGCAAAAATAAATTAAAAAATCACATATTTACAATATGATTATGTATATAACATGGCCCATTTTACAGAATTTATCATAGCCCAATATTTTCTGTTATGAAAGCTGCACATTTTTGTATAACTGAAGTGTAATAATCAGTAGAAGCCAATAACACTTACGGGTATTAGCTTGGAAAAGCCAAATTTATGCATTCCTGATATATATTTCTGTAACTTCCCTCAATGTTTATTGCTGAAATTGGAATATTTTACTGAGCAGTTTGCTTTATTGATTTACCAGACATTAGGGACGTAAAATATTGTATGTCATGACTGCAATAGTCATTGTTTAAGCCCCATCTTTGATGTGGCGGCTGTTACTAGGTAAGTTTCCTAAGATAAATCCGTCTATTTTGTAACTGGGTAGACCAGAAAACATTGTCCAATCAGAATAATGTGTGACGAAAAAATTTTTCCGCTTAACCAATCAAATTGTGCCTAATTTTGGTATCCAAGGGGATTTTTGATCATGGACCAATCGGAATAGACGTTGCCTTTGTAGTCAGGCAGACATAGCAAAGTCATCCAATCACAAAAAAATCTGAAAGGGGATTTTTGCTGTATCTTGGTTCAGGTACTTTCTTTTTCTTTTTTTAAAATAAATACTGTAATACGAGTCACCAACTCTTACATACATTAATAATATAATTAATAACCTATTAGCTTGAATTATTTTTAAATCATAAATGGCGCTCATAAATGGGTTTGGTTGGGCTTTCATCGCTTGCTAGCTAATGCTAATGACACTGTGTAGCTTCTCATAGCTAGCTAACTAACATCGATAGTGGATTTAATATCTGCATTTGTTGTTAAACGCATGTTTATACTATGTCGCTTTCGAGTGTCTGTTAAGTGTGTTCCTCATTAGAGTAAAAAATAAAATAAAATCATGTCTTAGCGTTATTTCAGAAACTAAAATATGATAGTGTTGCCCGCTAGCCAGTTAGCTCCGCAGTAGCATGTAGACTTGCGTCTCAGTGTGCTGTGTAGTAAATGGCAGGCACATGACCACCGGCGCTGCGCCCGCTGTAAACAGCAGTCAGAGCTGACATGGGAGCTCCTCTGGCGCGACAACAACTCCAGCTAAAGCCAGCGGGTGTAAGGAGGGGCCATGGCCGGGAAACGGGCGGCTTTTTGTAAACAATCCACCCGCTTTTGTTATAGTTCCCTTCTCCAACACCTTGTCTTGTGTCTTTACCCGGCAGCCGGCGGCCCTTATTTTATGATTACAGCCGGTCAGAGCGGAACCGGCTTGGATTTTGGTGTTAACTACAGCATGATAGGATGTTAAAATGAGGCGAACATACTCAGTCTTCTGTGCTGCATCAGATATCTGAGCTTATTCAAATTGATGCTCTTCTGTCCCTGTGTCTAGCAGATTAATCAATTTATCTTTGTTTGCAATTGTTAAAGATAGGCTCTGTGTATGCACCCTGACCCTCTATCCAAGGGTGTAACTATACGATGCAAATTAGTGGGGACACTCAGAGTAACTGGACCTACAGTTACTCAACCTGAACGCTTTCATTAGGTTTTCATATTTTCAAAAAATGAGCTCAAACATATATTTATTGAATACTTTCCTATTGTTGAGAACACAAGAGAACTCTAATACACTGATATTTATATTTATAGATCTTTAGAGAGATTCCTTTTAGTGCATTGTATGTATATACGGCCCCAAAACATAAATGTATATAAAAAATAACGAATAACAGCCGATTCTGATGCCAAAATAATGCATCCCTAGAAGTACAATTTAAATTCCATCCATCCAGAAAATTATGGATATGCTGCATTTTAAATATAACATAGCATATTTTTTTCTTCTTGTAAACTTTTTGGTAAACTTGGAGATATATTTTACTGCATGTTGCATATGCCTGTAAATCTGTTTCACCTTTAAATCTGCAGCTCTCCTTACTTCTCTCTATGCTCTGTTTAAAAAGATTTTTGAACCTCTTTACTAATATAATAATGCCAGAAACAAAATTTCAAGATGTGTAGAAGCTCTGCAGTCTGATTCTATCTGTACAATAAGAAAACATGTTAATTTTAACCTGTAACTGGGAGTCATAAAGAGCTAAACGTAGACCTTCTTTTATTATAATTAGTGTTGCACCGGCAGTATCCACGGGGCCCCGATACTGCCCTAAAATGGTGGTATCGGTATCGGCGAGTACCAACAAATAGGGCACAAATACCATTTTGAGAGCCATAAGTTTATTCAACTATTGTCACCCACTCCTGGTAGGCAATAAAAACTTTTTATTTTTATTATCCAGTAGAACTTTTTAATAAAAAGTTCTACTGGATTCACATTGTATTAGATTTTTTCCTGCTTCACAAAGGCAGGCAGCAGCTTGACAAAGCCATGATGGCAATTATTGTACATTATTATGGTATAGGTATCGGCCGATACTGCACAGCCAGGTATCGGGTATCGGGGCCAAAAAATGGCATCGGCGCAACACTAATTATAATACTAACTAGAGTAAACTTACAATTTGTTGCATTTTTTTAGCTGAAAAAGCTCCATATGTCAAACAAACCGATTTTTCCATGGGATGATTTTTAAACCAACCCCTTAACTTTTACTTAAACATCAAAGTAGCTGCTGTTTAGTATTCACTGAGTGCTGCTGTATGTCTCTCCTCCTACCACGTAGCTACTCTCTAAGCAGTGAAATGCGACCGCAAATCAGATGTCTCAAAGCAACAGATCCGATTATGTTAGACCGAGATGCCAGACTAGATCCCCACTAGTCCTTCAGAAAGTTAAGCGTGTGGCTCTATCTCTCTGGTTCTTTCCCCTAAAAAGAGATCCCTCGGGACAAACTCTTTAAATAACACTTCATAATTTATATATTAAATAACCATGAGACATGACAACAGATTCTGATACAAAATTGTAATCTTACTCAGAGAAGTTGCTTAGAGTTTACAGAAGGCAGCTGTTCCCCTCCAGGCTCACCTCTCAGGAAGTGGCCCAGATTAACAGTTAAAATGGCATTTTATACATCTCCAGTCTGCTACATAATCTTATTTTACATCATACACATTAGCAGATGACTAGACATCCATGGCTCCAGCCTTATCAAAATATTACACTTCGTTCTTAACTGAAGGACACCGCTCTCACTCCATTTCCAAATCTTTGCCACGTACAGAATGAAGACTATAACTGTATATCCAAACAAAGTAAATGTCTTAATTAGATTAAAACATCAGTTCTGACACACAACAGGCAGCCCATACCAAGGTGTAATAAATTCACACATCTAAAATGATAGTTATCCTAACAAAATACAGAGTTCTGCCTAGATTTAGCTCAAAATAGAGAGTCTATAAAGGATGTTGCTTGGTTTTCTTCTGCTCATTTGATGCAATTATCAACACAGGAATTTACGTGCATCACTTCTCATTTTAATGTTTTATTTATAAACCCAGTTAGTTCCACAGATAACAATACAGATGTTTTCTCTTTATCATAATTTGACAAATCTGTTCATGACCTATGCTGGTCCCAACACATCTGGCATACAGTGATAATTCATAATTAGGGATATGAAGGAAAGGTTTGTTTATTTAAGTCAATAAATAACTTAAGCATTACCAAAAAACAAAAACAAAACAGACACTTGTTTTGAAGCCCTTATGTCTGTTAATTGATAATATTTAATGAAAACAAAACCTTTAGTTTTAAAATGTTGGATCAGATAAAAAAAATAGTACCCCTTGTGTATAATCTGTCTCTTTATATACGTTGTAAGTTTTCAGACAGAAAACTTAATATCCGGCTTATGTCATTGCTTTTGCAGATGTTACTCAGTGCAGGTTAGTTGGTCCAAATGTCAGAGGACCTGCGGCACCAGCGGGCTGATGCCTCCCAGCGGGCAAAGGGTGGCCTGGAGGCCGGGGAAGGCGAAACGGAGCCCAGCATGTTGCTGCAGAAGCTAAACAGCAATATCTCGTAAGTCAACCTAATTACCATCTCATATGAGATCTTCCTTCAAATGGTTTGACATTTTTCTCATTAAAACAGCTGTAGAAATTTTTGTTTAAATGCAAAGAAATATGATGAATTAATGAATTTGCCTATTTTGCAGAAAATGCATTTAAAGAGAAAGGAAACTGGAGAGGATTTTACAGTTTGTAGTAGGATGATTGACCTCTAAATGTTTTCATTATTTAGTGCTGTTTGAACTTGTTTCTACTAGAGGTCAGCTTGATGTGAATTAGTTTTAATTTAAATGCATAAATGCGGCTTTTTAATAACCATTTAAGCTTGAGGTATTTAAAAGAAGACTTTTGAATAATGACAGATAACATTTATTTCATAGTGTTTGTATTTTTTTAGTAAAGGCCCTGACTTTAGCAAGAGAAGAGCTCAACATAGACCTGTCATCATGGACAATGTGGAAATCGAGGTGGTCTCCGCATATAAGCCACCTTGACAATAAGTTGGACTGGGCGGTGGAGGCAAATGCGGCACACAAAAAGGAGCAAAGCAGATTCTACTTCTTAAGACGACTAAGGGCGTTTGCTGTGTGTAGGGATATGCTTTTCCTCTTTTATCAGTCAGTTGTGGCCACCGTTGTTCTGTTTGCAGTTGTCTGCTGGGGAAACAGCATTAGTAGCAGGGACAGGAGCAGAATAGACAAGTTAATCAGGAGGTGTGCAGCAGTGATGGGGAGGGAGGCCGTCGCTATGGAGGAACTAGTGGAGAAAAGGACTAGTGCGGGGGTCGGCAACCCGCGGCTCTTTAGCGTTCCCCTTGAGGCTCCCTGGAGTTTTTTTAAGAATGTATGTAAATCGATTATTTTTGTTTGTTTTAATATGGTGTGCAGGAGGTCAAACAAAAATTATCTTTACCAGTGCTGTAAACATTTGTAGTATAAATAAATTTATACAATAATTTGCGTCATAGCCATAGAGATCAGTGGTCATAACTTGCAACCAGCGTGGTGCAGTGCCAGGCAAAAAAAGCGATGGGGTGTCTAAGGCCATGGATTCCAAAGGGAAAAAAAGGAAGATAGCTGATGACAAAAGAGGGTTCAAAGAATAGACCGAAATATTTACTTTCATTATAAATGCATTTTTGCTTTGTATTGAGATGTTGTAAAAAAAAAATTGGAAAGGCATTTCCAGGCAAGGGATACTAAATATACACCCGACCACCAAGCTGGGAGGGAGAGAAAAAGTGCGATTGTCGAACTTCTAGATAAATTAGAGGAGATCAAAGATAGATTAAAGAAGTGGATTGCATCTCCAAACTCCACTACAGCTGCTGGTTTGGTTGCAAGGATGGAAAAGCATCCACAGATCAAACAGGTAGCGCTCTGATGCAGGGATGAGAACTTTCTTCTATTTTTTCCCCAAATCCTCAAAATAAAAATATCACAAAGAAACGCTGATGACATAGGATGTGGGATTTCACGGTTAGAGAGCTCTGCTCCGATGGATGTCAGTTCCTGCTTGATTCCTCATGACTTCATCAATTCCTCCCAACAGAAACACGTCCACCATAGAGAGATTCCTTTATCGTGTTTCTAGAATTTCATCAATGTAAACAAACCGCGCGGTGAAGGGCAGTGGTTGAGGGCATTCACTACTCCTGCCTCACCTCATGCTGCTATGTGACATTTGCTCCAGGATTGACATTTAATCATGAATGCTTATTATATATTTAGGCCACATAGTCATTTTCCATAGTGGGATATATACTTAGAGACTGTGTTGCCATACAAGGCTGATAGAGGACTTTTACATTTTTGCGGCTCCAGACAGATTTATTTTTTATTTTTGGTCCAATATGGCTCTTTGAGCATTTTGGGTTGCCGACCTCTGGACAATGATGAAGTCCATAAGGGCCAATGGGAGCCATCCATTGCACAGCACTATGGTGCCTCAGGAAAGCAGCCATAGTTCAAGACTGATCTCTGTGAGAAGACGATCTTTTGTCCCAGCCGCCATTTGACAGTTTAATGCCTCTTTAAGAAAAGTGTGTTATTATTATTCTTTTCTTTTTTGTGTGTTTTTTTCTATCCTATTTTATATATTTTTATCTTTGCTATCGGGCAGGTGAATTTTCCATTTGGGGGGGATTTATAAAGTTCTGTCTTTCTGTCTGTCTTTAAACTCTAATGATTTTTCTTAAAGAGGTCTTACTATTTCTATAAATGTGACGTAAAAACATCCCCAAATGTCGCATTTATAGAAAGGCATATAGGCTTCCAATATTAAATATAGGAAGTCTCTATTTAGTATTGTGAGCATATCTGGGACTCTTTGTACAGTAACCAACATGTACATGACAGCTGCTTTCTCTGTCTTGCAGTAAGACTGTTCAGAGCAAAGTGGATCAAATCTTGGTAGGAACTTTTTTATACAGAAATTTAACGTGTGGTTAATAGAGACCTGATATTTCTGCAGATGTAATGCAACTCGGTTCTTTGTTGTCTTTTTTTCTAACAGCAAGACGTTCAACGCTTCTCTGACAATGACAAGCTGTACCTGTACCTGCAGTTGCCCTCTGGGCCGAGCTCTGGAGACAAAACGTGAGTTGTTTATTATGAAACAAAAAGAAAACTATTTAAGTAATGGCAGATTTTCAGCCAGTTATGTAGATGTTGTGTCAAACATTTTTGAGAAACATAAAAATAGCAATAGATGTAAGCTTTCTTCAGATTTTCTGTTTTTTCTTTCTGTAAAGTCCAGTGTAGGGAAATGAGCACCCTGTTGTGGCGTATACCGTGTCATCAAAATGAGATGCAGTCTATAACTGATTTTCACTAGCCTATCTGTCCGTTGCCTGTGAGACAAGGGGTGTCCTGAGGTGAAGTCCCTGCACGCCTCTGTCCTACAGGATGCAGACAGATCCCTCGCAATTTTTACGATTTTATGCTTAAATGAGCATATAAGTAATAATAACACCTAGTATTTAAAAGAAAGAAACAACTAGCTTTTGTCAACATAAAATCCCAGTTGCTGCACTCCGTTTTGGCAACTGTGGCAACTTTCACATGATTGACTCAGGAACCAGGGATTAAACACACTACGGCTGGGCGATATTGCTAAAAAATAAAATGTCGATTTTTTTTTTTTTTTTTTTGTCATTTTGGATGTATTTTATTTTAATCGATTTCAATTAAAGTATTAAAAACTACATGCATGTATTTTAAAATAGGTTTACTTTATTCAAAAATATATTGTATAAAGTAACAAATATTTAACCAACATTAAACGTATTGTAAAAAAAATAAAAAAATACTTAAATATTAATAACATAAATCTTGTGCAAGTAACACAAATGTTCACCCAACAATAATTGCACTGATTTTTTTATGAGTAGAAAATGTACACTTATATATTCAGTACAAGTGCAAGAAAAAAATGAGCAACATTTGCTGAAATATGCAATTTATCCAACAGTCCATAACTTATATTGATCTTCTAGGAAGTATGTGGTTTGTAAACAGTAGCTGCTGAGAGCCCAGGTCACGTCAGTAATTATTTTCAATTAAACTCATGTATGGGTGAAGAGATCGACTGGACTAAAGGTCTGTAGTAGTTGCAAACAACAAAGCAGAGTCCAGATCGGGGAGTCCTCCCCCAGAAAATGGTGTATTTCTAACATGCAATTTTCTGCAATTTCCTGCATTTTATCCAAATTGTGTCCCGTTTCAGCTGAAAACAGAACCATACTTTTATTTTGTTCTCTGAGCGTGGCTTGTATTTCTTGCAATAAGCTACAGCCTATTAACGTGCAGGGCAGCTGGTCACTGGAGTTTGCGTGCGCAGGTGCACAGTTTGTAGAACTAAAACTAAACATGAGGACTGTCACCAGGAAACCACGACAAATGTCCCAAGAAGAGAGATCACCGAGTGGAGAATGCTTTAGACAGACAACATAATAAGAGGAAGGTGAATCAAGAACAGTAGAACTCTAAGCTCTAGCTACAACAGGGAGGGAGAGAGAGTCAGGACGCACAGACATGGGTCACACTCGCAAGAGTTGTTCTGTGCGCAAGTGCCACCAATATTACTGTTTTTTAAGTTATCTTGAAAATACGGAACAAATAGCGTCCCTTATCAGTTCAATTCAGGATGTGTAATTTAACTTCCAAATACGGGACTATTCTGTATTTCAAGGGACGGGTGGCAACCCTACTTGTAGTATTTTTGACTCGGCGGGTCCTATTTTGGATCACACACTTTTAACATGTAAAGGAAGCCAAGCTTCTCTACTATGTAAATGGGCACCATGTCCATCCTTTATATGAACAGCTACAGTGTTGGTCTTTTGCTTCTACTGCACTATAAACTTGTCATATGGCACCGCTTTAGAAAAAAACTTGTCTTTCCCCGCGCTAACGACGCTGCTCACCCAAAGCTCCCATTCTGTGGGATGCCTTTGTCACTGATGCTGAAACAAGTAAGTTGGGCTGCTAGTCTTGGTTTTGATAGCATTTCGACAAACCTTGCACACTACTATAGTCTGCTTCATAGGGCCTTTGTCAAAGCGGAGCCACTTCCAAATAATCGACGAAACACAAGTCCCTTTTCTCGGTACTAACTCTTCAGATTGGGCAGCGGTCATGGCGTGAGTAAACAGTGCAGCATGCTATTGGGCGGAAGGAGGAAAGAGGTGGCGGAAGCAAACATGCAAGTTAAAAATGCAGAAGAAGAGATTTCCTCAATTTATGATTTAGCAAAATTTCAAATCGTTTAAAAACATACATTAATCAAATTAATTTGTTTTATCGCCCAGCCCTAAAACACACTAATAGTTTTAGACTGTATCTCAGATGTTGTTGATGGAGAGGACCAATTGCTTATAGGCAATTTAACTTCCATCCAGACTGACAAATGAAAATGATTTTGGTTGATTGAAAGTAAGTTTTGTACTTATTAATCCTTGGATTAAATAATGTTTAGTCTAGACAACATTTAAACATCTTTAGGTTAAAATAAAAAATAATGAATGCGTTCAAACCTAAACTGATCAGAGAGTTATTTAATATTTATTCCATTTGTGGAAACATAAAAGCATTTAAATTCTTTCTAGGTTAATTTAATATATCCTCTTCAGTGATCTATTGTCTGTTCACAGTGGCGGTGACACCAGCTCGTTAACCACAGCTGACCAGCTTCACACATGTAACTGGATCCGCAGTCACCTGGAGGAGCATTCAGACACCTGTCTGCCCAAACAGGACGTCTACGAGACGTACAGGTGGGACAACGCAGACAGACACACCCTATATAATAAACCCAAAGAGGAACAGTTAGATTATGATGTCATCTGTGAGCAGGAAGTACTGTGAGAACCTGCAGCATCGTCCTCTGAGCGCCGCCAACTTTGGGAAGATCATCAGAGACATTTTCCCCAACATCAAGGCGAGACGACTTGGGGGCAGAGGACAGTCCAAATATCCTTTTAACCACCGCTGACCTTTTTCTGAATCCTCTTAAAGATTTCACCGATGCTAACTTTATTTAATGGGTTGATTTTAAATTTTTCAAGGATGTGGACTTTCCTTTAACTAATTCTTAACCTAAATTAATTTTCTGTAGTTATGACTAAATTATAGCCATTTGTGCCATATGTTTTTGCCCTTTTCGGGCCGATTCACCAGTCTTGCAAAAGTTTTTTGGATTGGTCTGGGTTTCAGCCTCATTGTGCTTCCTGCTTCATGTAATATACCGGGGGGGGACGAGGGGTGAGCAGCCTTTCACGACCACCTCCGGAATCGTAAGGTAGGGAGAAAATCAAGCATGTTTAAAATTCAGTCGGCCCGCTTAAGGTGTTCGTGAGCAAATCCTGTTGTTGAAGCAGAGCTACAAGCCCATTTACCAGAACCTAGTGCGCTGCACATGTGCAAACAAGGGAGTTCTTCTTCTTCTTCCAAATTGCAGAGTCCGACCAGCGCCATCTGCTGGTGCTGAGTCGGACGAGTGGTTTCTGGACGTGCCGTGTGAGCAGGTAGATCGCATCAGAGCATCGGGAAGAACAAACATCTTGAGCTGTGGACTTTTAAACCCTGCAATTTCATTGTGCGGTTTGAGCTGTAGCTGAGTAAAATGACTGGAAATATCGTACAGTGTATGCCCAGCCTTTGAGTAAAAAAGATGGCTGGGGTTGCCGGTTTAAATTCCTTAACCTGTCCTGTTGATAAGTACTGTTATAGTGGAATCAGGAGGAAGACGGTTCTCAACATGCCTCTGCTGCCCAACCTGGACCTAAAGAATGATCCGGTACTCACACACTGACTCTAATGCTTTCTGCTCACTACAACATGTTTCACCTCTGAATTAGTTCAACTACAGCTGAGGTCTGAATAACTTTGGTCAAAATTTATATACAATATATTATATACATTTATATATAATATATACAATTTGTTAAAATAGAAGGGTTTGGAACAGCTCTCTCGTACGGAAGAGGATTAGGGCCACTGGAAAAAAAAAAGTTAACTGATTTTTAAATTTTATTTCAGTATATTATGAGGAAAAAAGTCAGAATTCTGACTTTAATCTCAGAATTCGGTCTTTTTTTTCAGAATTCTGACATTTTTTTTCTCAGATTTCTGACTTTAATCTCAGAATTTTGGATCTTAATGTAGATGGGCACCATGAAGGAAGGGATGTGGAAGCACTCAGCTTCACTGACAAAGATGTGAGTGACACATTGGTTTACGTGCCAGAGGGGTCAACGGTGATACTATTTCATTAATGGATGAGCAGAAGGTGATTAAAACAAGAGCGCTAGTTGAGTCTTTAAAACAGACATGGCTACGGCTTGATGCTAACATGTTTTTTTAGCTCAGAATTCAGAGAAAAAAGTCAGAATTCTGAGATTAAAGTCAGAATTCTGACTTTTTTCTCATATTATATTGAGATAAAATGTAAAAATCAGTTAAATTTGTAAAACTTTTTTCAGTGGCCCTAATCATCTTCCGTACTCTCGACAATTTCATCTTTTTTAAAAGTAAAAATAGTAAAAATGACTGTAAATTTACAGTTCTAACATTTTTTTTAATATATATAATGATAAAATATAAAATAAGGAAGGTTAGTTACTTTTTTGTTGTTGTTTTGAAACAGAAGACACAATTGGTTCATGTCTGTGGCTAAAAATGGGATTTATTTGTCCGTTTAATAGAGTCTTAGATAGTCTTTATCTTCATTTTTGAAAATAATATACAATGCTAATTGTTGTCGACAGTAAAGAAATTGGTTGGTTGGTTGATTGATTGATTGAAGAATTACAGATTAGAGTTTTGGTACATTTTGATCTTTTTTTCCGAGTAAAAAAAATGAATCCCTGGTGTACTACTGCAAAAACCATCTAGAAATGAGTAAATATTTCTCAGACTAAGTGTATTAACACTTAATTTGAGTAGGTATGTAAGATGATCTGCCAATAGAATGAGTATTTCTACCCTTAAAATATTATGATTAAATATTATGCACTTGAGATATGAGACTGCAGTTTTTTCTGCTTTTAAATGTAAATTTTTTTATTCTATTGGCAAAATGTCTCACTTACAAGAAAAAAAACCCCACTAGTTTTAAGGCAAATTGGCTTAGGTTTAAATTTTTTGCTGTGGCTGAAAGATAAGGTGCATTGATGACTCCATTTGGGAAAATGTTGAAAGGCAATTATTACCCTGTTAAAATTACACCTGTATCCAAATTTAGTTTAACTGAGTTTCTGCCTTTGTTTGTTGCTCCTGATCTCCAGTCGGAGCTGACTGAACTGGTCCAGACCTACAAACAGGAGGTGACGGAGGCGGCCTGTGAGCTGATCTGTGATTGGGCTCAGAAGATCTTGAAGCGTTCCTTTGACACGGTGGTAGAGATAGCTCGCTACCTGATCCAGGAGCACATCGTGAACCCTCGCTGCAGCCAGGCTAAGCTCGTCACGTCTGCAGCACTCGCAGGTTTGACCTTTTTTACTTCACTAGAAGATTTTATGTTAGTTATCCGAATCATTGTGTCCTTCTGTGAGGAACTTGACTCTGGTTAGGCCAGTGATCAAGATTGACAGCAAGAAAGAAAATGCACCAATTAGATAGTTTACAGACAAAATTCTTAGTTGACCATGAGAACAGAAACTGGGTTTGACTTTGGTTCACTGATATGAAATCACAAAAAAAAAACTGTTCTATCAATTTTTTACTTTTAGCTAAAGCATATTTTTAGTACACATAGCACACAAGCAAGTCCAATTCTTGATGGTTCAATAATAACAAAAAAGAGAAGACTTTTGCGTGGCCTATCACAGATTAAATCCTATATTAATTACTTAAAACAGGGACATTTATGCTTGAGATCACTTTAGCGCAGCCTATTTAAACATTTCTGCAAATAAGAATAAGACTGGATCCAAATGACCACATTTTGTTAAAAAAGAGTAAATCTTAACAATAGTTGGCAGCTCTCGCCAGCAAGGTTGATAGAAGCAGCAATTAGGCTTCTACAAAGTGACACTTAGGTTAGGAATAGAGATCGATGAGGAGGGGTTATTTCTATTAAGGAGTTCCAAAGAACGTTTGGTTTTGGTTGATTTTGGCTCCCCCCAGTGGACAAAAGCTGCATTGCTTTGCCTTAAGAAGGACTGCATTTTCCTGTGTAGATCAGTGTAGTAAAATCCTAAACTTCCGGTCCTCTGCAGTTGGATTGAACTACATTTCTGTTTTCCATGGCGGTGAGGTAATGAATCTATAATAACGTCATAAGACAATGTTGAAAATAAACGTTTGGTTTTGTACCGTATCACTGCACCGTTTGCTGTTTACAGCAAAAATATTTGGCCAAAATTGATTAATGAGCCAGGTGCTAAAATCTGTAAAACTCAAATTAATCGGTTGGGTTCTAAGATAGATGCTCTCAGGCCATGACACAGGTATCATTAAACTAGTTGTAAGCTGACGTATAATCACAAAAGTTAGGAAAATATTTAATGAAGGCTGAAAACTAACTTAAATAAATTTGCTCCCTCATCCTCCATTTACGTGGTAAAGATGATGCAGTGATACCAGGTGAAACATTTCCTGATCAAAATGAACATTAACCAGGGATAGCAAACAGAAAACTGCAATGCATACGCTTCGCTTGATCTTAAGTTGGGCTGCTGAATCACTAATGAATCAATAACGACATGGATGTAGCAGCTGCTACTATTGGACAAAAAAAAAAATCATACGACCAATGTATAAGTCTATCTCTAATTAGGTCGATTTTAGCCCCCTTATTAAATTAAGTCATTATCTAAAAATTTCTGTCTAAATTTAAGAATTTGTTTGATGATCTCTTTACAATTTAAACTTTAATGGAAAGAGAAAAAGCAACTTTTTTATGTCCTTAGTAGCTTTCTACTGATTTCCTTTGCCTTTCCCTGAGGAAAAACTTCCAAATGAAAGAAATGATGCTTATTTTCTAATTAGTTTGATGTTTTGAAATCAGACAGTGGAGCCAAATGTTTGTGATAATGTTTCAGTGATTTACTGTCGCCTTTATAAGGGTCCTTATATAGTAATGGTTGTTTAATGTGGATGCTTTACTTCTTATAATATTAGTGGTTTAAATGTTTTCTATTTAGTCAGGAAGAAGAGACAATATTTTTGGTTTTGTTGTATCTATTCAATTTAAAGATTAACTGTAATGATACTATAGAAGCTGGTTGTTGTTCTGGTGTTATTTGTAATCAGATGATCCAGAGCTTTGTTTTCTTCTCCTTTCAGGTGGTCCAGCTAAAACCCATAAAGTCATTAAGAAAACTCCTGTGATCTCTCAAGCTGATGGAGAAGGAGCTGCAGACCAGAGGGTTTGTAGCCAACAGATTGTTAACCTGTTTGCCCGTTCCTCCCGCTGCTCACCGCTGCCTGCTTTTGTGTTTACAGAAAGACCTGGATTTATCCTCATCCTCCCCCAAGCTTTTTCCTGGAGACAAATCCACTTCAGCGGTACCCAAGCCTCCCTCAGCAGATGTTCCTCCTCCTCCTCCTGCTCCTCCTCCTCCTTCCTCTACCTCCTCTTCATCTCTGCGACCAGCAGTAAGTCAACAATCCTAGACCTCTTATTTTCTTCGCACAGTAAAGTGAGCGGTGTTAATTTAACCTTTAAAGCGTCAGTTTCAACACTGAGCAAGGTTACATATGGTCCTGCAATGTGTAAAACTTACACTGATCCACAGTGTCAGAATTTCTGAGTTAATTTTACTCTAGTAGGAGTCAAATTTAGTTATAGAGTAAAATAAAATTACTCTGACAATTGTTAACTTAGTTTAACACTTGTAAAAAATCAACAATAAGTGAAGTAAAATTAACTCTAAAAATCTGATACCAAGATCAGTCTGCACAGGACAGGACCATATGTACCCGGGCTCAGTGTTAAAATTGATTCTTGGTGTTAAAGTACAATTTTATTTATCTCAAGGTGTACAGCCAAAACTTGAATAAGAATTTTGAGGAAAAATAACCAACATATCCATGTCTTATTATTTTATTCATTTCACTACATCAACAAAATACCAATAAAAACTTGGCATAGAATAAAACAAAAATTGCATTTTTCTCCTTGTAAAAAAAGAGAGAGATGATTTTTTCCTATATAGACCATCTTTTAAATTAAATTAAATTCAGTTTATTTCTATAGCGCTAATTAACAACACATGTCATCTTAAGACACTTTACAGTTCACCAGATCA